ACACCCCATCTGTTGATGGCCATCAGCTTCCCGCACCCCCAGAAGTTCACAAGAGGAGTGGTGCTTGCTGAGTGAATAACAAGCGTATCACTTTCACACTTCCACGCTGAGACTCTCATTGGTAGCATGATCCTTGGAGAGCAACCAGGCATGTGCAGGTCTGGCCAGCAGTGCGCCAGTCTCCACTGAGACTTTCTGACACCTGTCAGGATGGGGGAAGAGGTCTGTGATGGGATGGTGTTGCCCTGGAATAGCCCCAGCCACTCTGGGCAATAGAAGCAAGAGGGCCCTCCACCTCCCAGGCAGCATGGGCACCCGGCAGCCTTGTGTGGTAGTGCAGGTGACCAGGCAGAGGACACACCTGGGCGGTTGGAACAGGGAGCAGTGTCTCTTTGGAAGTGCAGGCTTCTTGGAGAAAAGGTCAGTATCCAGCAAGGTAGAAGTTACGCATAGAGAGAGGAGTATGACCCAGTGATTCCACAAGAAGATACCTTCCTGAACACATTTTTTTACAAATGTATAAGAAACCATGCACGTGTGTTCATTGCAACATGTCCCACACATGTGTGCCCACACCCATGCACACAGCAGTAGGATGGAGCTGGAGTAACCTAGTCCTGTGGCTGTCCAGGTTAGCTGTGTGCCGGGCAGCATGCTGGCCTGGGGTGGGTGCTCAGTACTCATGTCAGTGTGTTGAGCATTTCCCTTTTATAAAACCACTGTCAAAATGCAGGAGGCTGGCTTTCCCCACAGTGTGCTGAGCCTGAGTCCTCTAAGTGACCCTGCCCTGGCACATGTCTGGAATGCCAGACTAAAAGATGGTTTGCTTTCTTGTTGGAGCAAGTTTGGGGGGGCAGCTGTCTTTGGCCACGAGGCTAAGACTTCTCTGCCATCTGCCCCTCACCTAAGGCCAAGGGGGCCCCCAGAATGCTGCAGTCAAGGCCATGCGCAGTGTTCATGTTGGAAAGGGTAGTAAAGGGCACCATAGCTTCCACAGCCCTCTGACTCCTGGCAGTGTCTTCAGTGCACGGGACGTGCGTGAGCAGTGACTTCAGGAGGATGGGAGGAGGATGAGATGGAGCAAGCATTCTTTGTGAGGAAGTCCCTGCTCTCAGCAGTCACTTTGGAAAAGAGCGAAGCCAGTGTGAACCTGGCTTCCGGCTTGTGCAGAGAGAGCCTGTGAGCGGTGCTAAGCACGCTGCCTCTGACGAGCGTGATCTGGACTCTAGACGGAAGTTTGTTATGGCATCAGTCATACAGGGAGCCTGAGAATTTAGCTCATACTTGAGGTTTGCTCTAGGTAGTGTAGGGAAAGTCACTAGTTGGAAAGCAGCAGAGCACTGTGTTGGCAAGTTAATAATATTTCAGGTCCAGCAGGGGCCTTTTGATCGTCTGAGTTAAACATGTCACGCTACAGAATGAGACTTGACAGAGCTTCTCTTCTTCACCAAATTCTGGCCAGGCTCTTCTGTTGATTTTTTTTGCCTAGGCCCTAGCCTTGGGCATATTCTCAAGAGCCCAGTTTTAGCAAGAATACTAGTAAGTCATTTCAGCCTGAATTCTTCAGCTTGGCTATGTGATCAAAGTCTTCACCCTCCGGGTCCCCCAGGTAATATCCGAGCACCCTACTCTGCATTCTGCAAAGATTCTATGAGGTTAGTTTAGCAAAGAATTACCCTGGCCCCTCAGAAATTTCCATCCACTGACTCCACCCTGTTCCTTGGCTATGAATTACTTGCTTCTCTTCTTATTTGGAGTTGAGCCAAATCCCTTTTTTCCACTGCAAACCCCACTGCAATAGTATTTTTACCTGCTGTCAATGTTTTGAACAAAGCCTGGCCTAACATTTTAATAGGCAGAATAAGTTTTTTCTATCACAAGCTTAGAGAACTGGCTTGTCCAGGGTGATACTTGGTATGCATTGGTTCTAGCTTCTGGATTTCCAGACTTCAAGTTCAGTGCTTCATCTGTGCTGTAGGGAATGTAGAACCAAGAAGTAATTCATTCAATACAGGATTTTATTGGCGTTAATAAAAGCATGCACTACCATCCCCTGAGATAATGGTTGGTCCCCTGGACTGCAGCAGGGAACATAGCAGCTCAGAGAGATTGGCCAGTTGGTCATTTCATCTTCCTTCTAACAAGAGTGAGTTCCAGATCCTTCCTTGGCACCGGATGCTCCTAGTCTGTGTGGTCATGACAGTACCCAGCGTGCCATGAGCGATTTCTAGGAGTGGCTGTGTGTTATGACTGAACCTGAAGAGCTGGTTAAGGACTTCGGAGTGCTTTTGGGCCAACTCACACATTCACTCATTCACTGAGTCTCACAGATAGAGGCACTGTAAAACAACATAGTAAAGGATTTACAGTGGGACCTTAGCTAGCAAACTCAATTCTTTCCATGATTCTGGTCACAAACCGAGTTGGACAAGGATCGAATTATTCAGTGGTCAGTTTCAGTGTTGACCTTATGGGGAAATGTGATTCAGTTCTCGTCCAGTTTGATTTGCAGAATCATGGAGGGAATTGAGTCCCTGAACTAAGGTACCACGTATCTTCCTTTTCCCCAAGCATGACACAGGCATTAGTGCTACTGTAGGAAAAGCTCCTTGTGCACAAGGAGCATTAGTCAAGAAGGAGGTCCCAGAATAAAGATAGCAGCGGATCATTGCCCATAGACTGGGTACCGGGGTGGCACAGCAACCCTGGGAACCCTCTTAAGGAAGTTAGAAGAATGAAGGCATGAGCCTTAGTGTTGGAAGTTGCAGAGAACTTTACCAAGAGGAGGAAAGGATGCCGGATCAGGCAATGGGAATGGCGCATACAGAAGTGGAGGGCAGCAGAGATGCAGGACACATTGAGGAAAGTTGAGTGAGGCTGGTTAGAGGGGAGTAGAAGCGCGAGTGGCTGGAGATGGATCCTGTGGGGAGACTGAAGCTTGGAAAATGAAGCTTGACCTGGAGCAGCGGTGGGTGATCCTGCCCTGGAGTGAGGCAGCCGAACCTGTGAATGAGGTGTGAGCTGATAACAGCAGGGGGGGTGGGTGGGGGTATGGAAGAGCACATCAAACAGCATTTGGTGTCACAAAGACAATACTGTAGGAGGCACAGTGGCATGGGAAGGGAAAGGATGTCAGGATCGGATGTAGGCGACAGAATCCAGAAGACTTGGAGGCTGAGCTAAAACAGCATTTGGTGTCACAAAGACAATACTGTAGGAGGCACAGTGGCATGGGAAGGGAAAGGATGTCAGGATCGGATGTAGGCGACAGAATCCAGAAGACTTGGAGGCTGAGCTCCGTTTGAGAAATGCAATGAGAAAGCCTGGCCGTGATTCCTGGAGCTCTGTGCTTGAGGTGGACGGTACACCCACAAGAAGGCAGGCTGTGGGGGACAGATTATTAAAGTTAGCACAACCGCTGCCTGTGAGGCCAGTAGTCCAGGGAGGGATTGAAATGCTGACATTGGTTTACTCAGTAATGTGCTGAATATATATAATGTGTGAAGGCCTCTTCTGCACCTTCTACTTGTTTTTAATATTTCAGTTTACTGTATCCTGCTAGTAGGTTGTATTTTTGCATCCTCACAAATGCTTGTGAGATTTAAATTAGCTCTGTTTTTCAGATAAGAAGCATGCAGCTTCAGCAGGTTAAGTAGCTTACATAAGGTCATTGCAACCAGAGAGCTGCAGATCTAGGTAAAGCAAAGGTTTTCCTGTATCCAAAGTTTATGTTCTTCCTTCTTATCCTGTTCCCTGAAAATCTTTGTCCTTGACCTTGTGTTTGAGGAAACAGATGTGAGGGAAATAATCCAGACCCTGTCCCAGATTAGAAAAGTAGCAATACGGTGCAGATGGGGTGCAGTGGGATGGGGTGGCAGTGTTCTTGTGCAGAGGAGAGACTCGTGGCATTTGGGGAAAAGGCTGGCGAAGCCTCACTGGAGAAGCTGAGGGTGCGTGCTGGGTGTTGTTGCATCGTTGTGCCGCTGGCCTTCCCAAGCTAAGCTCTAGGGCAAGTCAGGACCAGATTAGGGTTTGGAGATGGGTAAAGGCTAAAAACACTGCAGTAGCAGCTGGTTACTAGGATGTGGCGAGACCGAAGTCAGGAACAGAGTTAGAGCTGTGGACTGAGAACAAGACAGAATGCAGAAGCAAAGTCTGACTGGAGATGGTGCGTTGGCCTGCGTGCCCTCCTGCGTGTGAGGTGGAGAGCTGTCCCACCCAGGAAGCCCGGGAAGGAGAGGGCAGAGAGGTGGTGGAGCCCTGCTGACTGGTGTGGGAGTGGGGACAGCCCCTCCGCTCTCATACCGCTCTTTGGCAACTTCTTTCCTTCTTCTGCTGTGGAAGGGCAGCGTAGGGAGGAAGGAGCCGTGGGCTGGCCTGCCTTTGCCCTCTCATTTGGAAATTAGGCTCAGAGGAGGTACGGGGGTCCAGCTGGAAGGACGAGCCGCTTCCCTGGCATTTCAGCCTCGGTGCCCCATCGCGCCGGTGTACAGCATCAGACCCTCTGTGTGGATTGACCTTACTTGGCCATTAGACCCCACGGGCTCTTGGGCGCTTCCTGCCTGCTGAGGGTCCCCTTGCTTCAGGCTCCTTGACAGGGCTATGAAGGTAGAAGTTCAGGAACCGTCTGGCACCCTTTCACTGTGCTCCCCCTGCAGCTCCTGTACGTGGCCTGGGCGGTGGGAACTCGCCACCTGTTCAGCACAGTCTGCAGTGGCTCCTTTCCCTGCGCAGCTTCACAAAGGGCACAAAAGTAGGTCTCCGAGAAAGGCCAGGAGGGAAGAGGAACGAGCTTAGGTAGTGAGCAGATGCATTAGTCTAATTGCTCTTCTCAAATTAATGGGGCTTTTTATCGCTGAGGAACAATTTTAAGCACTCATGTTATTTGGGAACAAAGATTGGAGTCTGGGGAGCAGGACTCCCCTTTAAACCTCACCCCCTGCTTGATAAAAACAATCTCTCCCCTGTTCTTTTCTCTTTCCTTTTTCCTCTTACTGCAGGTCCACAGATTATGGCACCACCTACGAAAAGCTGAATGACAAAGTGGGTTTGAAGACTGTTCTCAGTTACCTCTATGTCAACCCCACCAACAAAAGGAAGGTAAGAGGCTCTGAGCACTCCCCTTGGGCGGCAGCACGGCTGAGCGCTGGAAGTTAGGAACCTCTCGGCAAGCATGGGGTTTATGTGCTGGGAAGCACACACTCTCCTGGTAATTCTTTGGTACTGAGAATTGAACCCAGGGAGCTACATCCTTGCCCTTTAGAAAAGTTCTGAATTTGAGACGGGATCTGGCTCAGTTGCCCGGACGGACCTCCAGTTTGTAATCTCCCTGCTTCAGCTTCTCCAGTAGTTGGGGTTCCAAGCATACACCATTTTGCCTGGCGCGCTGTAATTCTAACAGCAGTCAGTAGTGGTAATGATGATGGCAACACTAGCAGCAGCAGCAGCACGACCAGTGGCATCACATAGGTGTACGAAGGGTTCCTCCAGACCAGGAATGTGCTGCGTGCTCACCTGGCCCCCGCGCCTACGTGTGCGCTGAATCTGTGGGATAGAGGTCATTCTTGTGTCTTTACAGGTAAAGATACTGAAGTTCACATAAACTAAGCAATCTTCTAGCTTGAAACAGAAAGTGGTTAAGCAGCAGATCTCAAATTAAGCACGAGTCTGTTCTCCTTCAGAGTTGAGTCTTTCTGCAGCCGCCCTCTTGCTCGTCTGGTTCTGGAGAGCATCTTACTCACATGAGGCCTTTTCCTGGCTCAGCCAGCTCCTCCGCTTCTCATCCTTCGTACCTCCTAGCTAGGGTGAAACCATGTAAGGTTCAGACCTTGGTCCTGGAGGCCTACTTGGAAGAGGAGCCCTAGACTCAGTGGAAAAATAGATGGATTTACACCGTAAATACTGTACAGTACTGGATTTTTGAAGATGTAACCTTTGCCCAACTTGGAAAGCTGTACTGTCTGGAAACTTAGGCAGACTTGTACCATAATGACCACGCACAAGGTTATTTTAATGTTTCTAAAGGGCTGGCAATTCAGTCTGCGTTTTCCAGTGGTCTCACAAACCCTTGCTTCCTCCAGGCATGCTGAGGAGAGAGCATCCATCCACTGTGCGGAGCCCTGATCTTTGATTCCCACAGGGCAGAGTCCCCGCTGTGGCTGAGAATGACTGTGTACGCTTCTCAGTGCAGAGCAGCGGTGACTGGGGCCCTTAACACCGTAACATACAGCTTCGCGCCTTCTCTTTGTTTCCCCTCCATGACACTGAATACTCCCACGCAAGGGGGAGGCTGGTCTGCTGGCTCTGACTGAGCATCAGTGATCGTAGTTCGAGGTCTAGCCAGCTCCAGGGTTCCCAGATGCCCAGACAGGCCCCACTGTCCAACTGCCAAGGCCTTGGTAGGCAGGATGGCTGATTAGGCACCTGCTGTTGGCTTTGCTGAGTAGTGTTGTTTGTTATATCCCAAAGTCAGATGTTCACATGTTTCAGCCTTGTTATTTGAACTGTCGAGTGTTAGAACTAGAAGGGATAACAGAGTTCAAGGATTCCAGCGCTGATGAGCAGGTTTTGAACTGCAGTTCTTTTGCGGATGTGATTAAAGCTCTAGACCTCCTCTTTAGAAACAGGCCTGTGCCATAAGAGCTTTTATATGTTTTGCAGGGTTTGCAAATACCCCAATCCCACTCAGAGATGTCAGACATGCATGGAGTCTCAGAATCCTTCATCTTTAATAACAACCTCATTTTACAGATGAGAAACCTGAATCCCAAAAGTCCATATAGCCAGGCAGAAAAGGGAGCCCGGATCAGAACCCAGGACTCTTGATTCTCAGTGCAGATGGATGTGTATCAGTTTGTCCTTTGCACTCTTTCTTCCTGCACAGTCATAGCCCGGGGGTCTGTGACTAAAGGTCAGCGCATGTCCATGCTGTGTCCAGGCTCGCTGAGTCAAAGTCAGTGACATATCAGTCCTTCCTTCACCTCTCTCACTTCACTGAGAAGGAAATTGTGGCCCAGACAAGCATCCCACCCGGGGCACTCAGTGGTTGGTGGCTGTTGGTCTCCTGACTCCCAGTTCAGTGTCTCTCCACTGCCCTCACAGTGAGTATATGCGTGTTGGCAGGAGCAGGCACTGGGCTTCAGCACCCACCTTGCTCTTACCTGCACCACAGCAGGATGAACACATTTCATGGAGAGCAGCATCGAGGATTTTTCTCAGTGGCATATGAAGGACCACACCTGTTCATATCCATTTCTGTCACTGTGCTGCTGATGAAAATGATCCTCCTGATGTTTCCTTTCATGTTTTGCTGTTGTTCTTTCCTTCTGATTGTGAACTCTCCTCAGCACAAATTAGAAGTTCTTAGGCATGAGGGAGACAGGTTCTGGGGCTTGGACAAAAGGTGGAGCTGAGCTTCGGAGATCATCAGCATAGAAATGCCATCCTAGTTTGTCTTTCTCAAAGGCGATGTCTGTGCCCTGGGTGTCACTGCTCATAACAGAATTATTGCTCATAAACAGAAACCAGGTTTATTTTATCTATCTCATCCAAAAATCATCACCAAAGTATGCTTAACTACCACCTAAGAGGCACTGACACCAGAAAGTTAAAAGCACACTTTTTCTTCGTGAGATTGGAGAAAGACAAATCATGGTCCAATGCCATAGATTGATAATTTTTAAAAATTCTTATTCCTACTTGTTTAGAGCATATAATGGTCGCATTCATCATGGAGAGCTGGTACCTGTACATAACACATCTTAACTTTTTTTATTTCTCCTCCCCTACCTCCCTGCATTTATTACTTTTTTGAAAATAGCAAGAGAAATTAATGTTCATAAGGATCTGGTAGGATCCTGGACTATTTTCTGAATCATCAAGGAAAGATGAAGCTAGATTGTTTTTCATTGTGCTCAGTGGTTTTGATTATATTTGGATATCCTAGGTGTTGATGACCTGCACATATTCTGCATGATGACTGTCTCTCAGTTTTTGGTTGTGGGCAACTCCCCTTTCCCTAGCCACTTAGGTAAAATATTCTTGTTTCTTTATTCATCTATAACTTTTCATAATTGTAATGCAACTGTTTTTAAGTTTCTTTCTTACATATATTTGGAAGTTTAAACCTGTGGTCACCTAGATTCTCTTTTCAGCTTGCATTAAGCAAGATTCTTTTACTTCTTTCAGTACCCACATTATCTTTTGCTCCCCATGTTTATGGGCCAGCTAATGGCAGTGAACTCCAGCAGATTTTTCAGTTAATCTCCTGGAAGCACTTGCTTTTCCCCTAATGAGTTATTTATCTAACAGATGGCTGTTGCTTTCCTTGGAGGCTGTGAACATATCAGATGAGATCTGTTGCCCCTGGCAAAACAGTAAACTGTACTTATATTTATATAGTTGCTCTAAAAGCTAGCTGTTGACTTTTTTAAACACTTTTTTTTTGATAACATGGAATCTCCAAATACAGTTAATACGCCATTCGTTTGAAAGCAAAAGTGTTAACATGTGTATAGTTCATTCTACCAATAATATCTTAATTGGCAATAACTGAGCACCTAGTATGTTCAGCCCCTTTCTAGGAGCTTTATTTGCATTTTCCTCTAATCCCTTCAGCCAGTTTAGCCAGCAATAAGATAGGGAGATAGACTCTGGCAAGTCACCCCAAGGTGGCGTTACCGTAAGGCTGGATCTGCAGCAGCCTTCCCCCTGGGTGCATTTGGGGGACAAGTTAGTCAAGTCACATTTGGCAGTGCTTGGCTTCCTTAAGGAAGTGGAGATTGCTGCCTTTCCTACAGGCTGTGATCAGAGTGTCTTCATTTTAGTTAGCAGGCATCATGATTTCCTGTCAGAATGGGAGGATGGAGATGAAATGCTTGGCGTGGCTCCGGCTGAAGTTGTCCTGGACCATCTTGGGCTGTGGTGGCATCCGATTATTTTAATGACCTTGGCCTGCCCTGGCCTTATTCAGTGTTGCTTCTGCATCCCCGAATGGTCGCCTCTTGTCGGCTGTGGGCCAATTAGATCATCATCTGGGTTTGAGCCCAGCTGTGCTAAGGGAGGCCAGCATTGCTGGGCATTTCCCAGCCTCATGCTGGGAAGATGAAGGCCAGTGCATTAGTTCTGGAAGCAGCAACATGCAGGGCTTGTCTTCCCAACGAGGGGCTCTGCTCTGAGGAGAGCTGTGAGTCCAGCTTGCAGGAGATAAACATCCCCATCCCCGGCCCTCAGAATTCATTACTGTCAGCTGAGTCTCATCCTCAGACCCACGCAGACTGGCACATGCCAAGGTCAGGTCAAGTCTGTGTTTACCAGAGCTCTGCTTTGTACAGTCAGGCCGATGGCCTGTTCCTCGGCCAGAGCAGCGCCAGACTCCTGTAGGTGAATCTGTTCGCGATGAGCCTTCGAGTGGACGGGGAGAGGAGGGTGTGTTGTTGTCTAATAGCTCTGGCTCAAAAGCAGCTGTCACCCGTGGCTTTGGAAACAATGTGTTGGAAATGGCAGGGAGCACACAGAGGTGTAACTGCCTGGGAATGCGACCAAATTCCTGCAGAGCACAAGTGTGCTGTCTTGTGTGCGTGGTGTAAGGTCTGACAGAATGGAGTCATGGCTTCCACGTACGGAGAGACCAAGAAGTTCTAGGCACTAGGCTTAGTTGTCCACTCCTGTGTATTCTGTTTCAGTGTCAGTCTTTTGGCTCTGGTAGCTTTATCCCCATTGGACAGGTGAGGAACCTAAGGCTCAAGCAGGTAGCCCATCTGCTAGTAAGACAGCTGGTAAGAGGCTCTGAACCCGTTCCAGCTCTCCATGATCCAGGGGTCGGTGGCCACCACCACAGGGAGAGATAGCAGGTGAGCTGCAGCCACCACACTGTTAGCAGCCTGTTCCTGGGGTTTCTGCTCATTAGTATGACGGCTTCTGTTTCTCGAAGAAGGGCAGTGTTGGATACTTTGTTCCTAATTGATTTACTGGTGAGAAGGGTAATTACTTGCCAGCTACCCTGCGGAAGTGAGTGGGATTTATATCAGGTGTGTCTGATGAATACACTGCCTTTGCTGAACTGTGGTGGAGGCCTTGCGCGTGTGGTCGGTGCTGGACCT